GCCCCCGCCCCCGACATTCAGAGGCCAACCGACAGTTCGACCGGTGTTTCCGACGTTGTCCACCGTGCGCCTCAATGCATGGTGGGCGCCGGACTGAGATTTGCGCTTGAATTACACTGGTAGTGGACGCGCGCTGCGTATACCGCGTTCTCTCTTCCCCCACCCTTCTGGGCCTGATGTCAAAGAAGTGTCAAGAAGACCGGAGGCGGAGTCGGGCGCAGGTGACTGGCGCGACATAAGCCTGCACCTAGGCGTGCCATCACACCCCTTTCATATATGGTTGCGCTGCCCAAACCGCGTACAGAACTCTGATTTAGCCCCTGTGCTTGTCTCACGGATTATCCGCGTGGTCCATTGTAAGGGGTATCACAGACCAACCAATGGGGCCGCATCAATAAGACAACGCCATGAGCCTTAACTTCGGCACCTTGGAAAGAATGAGCAAGAAATTCAAGTACGCACAGTTATTGATCGCCATCTATCTCTCTTGTTGCACATAACAGCTGGCGACACGCTAGCAAGGGGAACATAAACGTTTTTCACCACAACCTCGTCGGAGGAGAGCTTTTAGATGGTCCGTTACAGATGAAAACAAAAAATTCCCAGGAAATTCATCCGAGGCTGATATTTTGAAAGTAGGTAAATCTACTCAACGACTTTTGGTGTCAGTGCGATCCCCGTCTCCACTTTCGAGTCCTGCAAAAGCTCGTATTTTCTCACATCCAGGCAATTCAGTTTCCCAGTGCCCTGCTTGTGCGTAGACTCCTCGTATCGTCCCGGGGTTAGCCAGCCGACTAGTGCCGTAACAAGACTGTAAATGAGGGTCACTGCGAAAGCGTCCCACACGAAGACGATCGACAGGTGCATGATGTTGTCGTGCTCTTGCTCTGCCCAGTGGTCGGGCGACCGCAGGACGGCACCAACATGCCAAAACCACACTCCCTGGAGGAGGATGCCACCGGCACGCAACTGACCAATCAGCAGCGAGTAACGACGCCGACTGCAAAAGGCTGTAAGTTGATAGAGCGTGCCGACGCCGGCGTTGAACAGAGCGGCATATGAGGTGAGCAGGCGTGTTGCACCGGTCAGGTAGACCTCGCCATAGGCCTGTGCACGCGCGACCAGACCCAGGATAGAAAACGCCACTACTTGGGCCGCATCATCCAGACCTTCGGGCAGAATGATTCCCAGACCACTGAGGAGCTGTGTGATAGCGGCGAGAGCGAAACCGCCGTAGACGGTGTGGTAAGCGTAGGCGTAGTGGATGGCATAGACGGTCTCCACGAGAATGCCGAACGCACAGAAGACCAGCTGCACAATGTCTGCAAGCACGGTTGCGCGGAGCGGGCCCGCTTTGAGATTCTTTGTTCGGGGGAAGAGGAGGACGCAAAAGCACCAAACGCCCTCCAGAAAAAAGAAGGTGCCCAGCAGAGCATGACTCAAGAGGAGACCGTCATCGGCTGTTCGGAAAGAATGTATAGCTGGCCATGAGGAAGGCGAGACGAAGTCGGTCGCGGATGAAGCCACGGTAGTATTGACGACTGCCTCTGCACCAGGCATGCTGCCTAAAGTGTAGTGGCCGGTGAGGGCCGACCTACTTATCTACCGCCTGCTGCATAATTAGCGGCGATAGGTGCGCTGATGCCCCACTAATATGCCACCACTGACCAAGCAGGAATAGTTATTAGCAGCCTGTCACGCATACAAGATCTTTGCTGACTCTTGCTGCCAAGGGGCCCACGCCACGTAGGAGGCACGTGGAGTAAAACAGTTTCACCACTGCTATTTAACAGGCATCTTCAGTGAGTGTCAGCTACTGTATAGATGAGTTTTCGAGGTCTCGGGCATGATGCTGGTATCCTAAAACGGACCAACGCGGTAGATGCGTTGGACCAACAGGGGGGGAGTAGATCGAAGTCCGGCAGGCATTATCGGCAGTGCGCAACAACAATACCTGCCTACATTTAGGGTGTGGTGGCACGCCCAGCAGCCGGCTCATACAGAGCCGCCCCTTCTTTTTTGTTGTGTGGAATCCTGGTGTCATGACCCAGAAGAAAGGTAGGACAGGAAGAGAGCCGGTTCGGAGGACAAGCACTTTACTGGTAACCTCCGAACACGAGGGGTTACAACTCGTAAGAGGGATGCGCCATTTATATTGGTTCCTGTGCGTTCTGGAACATTCCGTCCAATGACGTGCCAGCCGTTGAGGGCGTTCTAGAACATTCCTGCCCCGGGCGTGCTGGTCGCTGATTGGCCACCGCGTGTGCAATAGCCCCCGGTGGAAACGTCTGAAATGTTCGACAAACCATTGATTGGGCCGCACACGTGCAAAGCCACCACACGTGCCCGGCGCTGCAGTGCACGCCGGTCGGCCGTATAACATCACGTGTGTCTCACGCCGCCGGCTTGGTCCCCTGTTTAGCGCCTTAGGCCGTGGCTCTACGCCGCTTGCACTCCCCATAACACCTGGTCTCTTATACGTGGTGGACTAGAGAGTTTGGTGGAACGCCTAGGTGCGGGTTTTCGCCATGTCAACCGCCTGCACTTTCTCCTGTCTCCCGTCTTATTGACTTTGTCTTGACACCAGATCCAGATAGAGGAGGAGGAGGAGGAGGAGGAGGAGGAGGAGGAGGAGGAGAGAGTATGGTAGATGCAGCGCAAGTCTACTCTCACCTTAAACTAACTCACGCGCAAGTCATCGTCCCTGCTCGCATTCACAATGGACATCGTCGGTCACGACGGTCAAGCTGTCATGATGCCAATATTATGTAGATAGGGGCTTGTAATGAAGGATAGTCTTGAGGACACAGTCATGGCGTTTAGCTGCTTGATTTCAGCTCCCAACATACTGAGGGCATCATAATACGACAATAAAACTAAAATTGGACAACATTCTCAATGCTGCGGTATCGCAGTAGGATCTTTGTACTAAAGCCTTCCCATTGCTGTCGTGGGTTCGAATTCCGCCGAGGCGCCGAGTTTTTCATAGTTGGGTCAATATGAATTATTCAAAATCTGCCAAAAACACCTATGAATTACCTAAGCCTGGTAGTCGTCTGGTGGATTCTAGGTAAATTACTTAGGAAATCCTGTCTGGACAGTCAACTTACTGTACCCGATTTGGCGGATTCCAGACGTTGCAGTAGGCTGGGCGGGTAACTTGACCCAAATGTGATTAATGTCTCGTCCGGCGGGGCCTCGTACCTCAAGTGGTTAGAGCGTTGGCTGTACTAAAGCCTTCTCCTTACTGCGTGGGTTCGAATCCCACAGAGGCGCCGAGTTTTCACAGTTGGTTCAATATAAAATTGGAGTGCCGTAAATTGCTTTCTTAAGGTGCCTAAAATGGTTAGTTTTGTCATCTAAAACTTCGACTAAGATCCCTTTGGTATTTTCTGACATCGTTTTTCGGGAAATATTTCCTCATAGTCGGCAGATGGTGTGTAATTCTTCACAGTGCACGAAACTAGTAAAAGACCAAACCAAATCTTCAATTTTTGACCAAAATACACATGTCTGGTAAAGTTAAGGAGCTCATCACTGCGAACAGTAGTTCGTTCGTTTTAGTACTCCGACCGATTCTCAGATCTATCTTCAGAGAGAGGGAAAAAACAACACAACAAACAGATTAACTTGTGAACTAGTCCACCCACACACGCTTTTGTCACTGTGGATGACTTGATAGATTTTTACAGCAGTCTTCAATCCCGTGACTTCACTGGATCTTTCAAATTGGCTGCGCAACACTTGGCATACGGGTGCGAGTTCGGCACACTAGCGCATCGATGCTGGACTTCATTCGCATGCCAACACCACCTCGCGCGTAGACGGGTTGGCGAGACATTACTGACAAGGGGGTTGGGAATGCCACTCAGGATTAATTTTTAATCGTCAGCCGCAGACAGCCCAAGCCCGGCGGGTTGAGCATAATCCGCCAACCGCGATTGGAGGGATTCAGACTCCCGTGGAAGTGGTATTGATCTGTCGCATCTAACCACAGAGCTGAGTCCTGCTCTAAGCTCCACTACAATGTCGGCGCGTACAACCTTCTCCAGCACCAGCGCGAGGGAAACGCTTTCAGGACGCAGAGTACACCCATCTGTGATGGCGACACTGCTTCAACATGCCCCAATTTCAATCACACATTCGAATCACCTGTCGGCCTGCTCGGCTACTGACGAATGCGGCGTCGTACGATTGGGCAACTAGTGTCAGGCGTCCTGTCCTTCCTGTCCCAACACGAAGGGCCCATTCCGCTGCGCTGGGCCCATTCCCGAAAATAACCACTATAACAGCACCATCCAGCTCCCGTTCCACATCACACTCTTCACGCTAATTGAAACACGCATAACCCAGGCATGGTTCACTCGCTTACATGAGTGTATAGTTAAAAGAACAGCAAAACTCCACATCTACAGTAGGTGGGCTAACTCATGAAATGTCAACCGAAATTCAGAAATGCGTTTTGGTTTGGAAAAGATTAATTAAGTAGGGTCGTAAAACTAATCAGCCTGCATCAAAATTCTACAACATTTCAGTTACCTCGGGTAGCCGGCTTTCGAATGAACTTCCTTCCGGCTGCATTCAAAAACGACACTATGTAAAAAAATGACTGCTTAAGTAGCATGAATTTTTCTCATTGATTTTCGATGTCCCTAAAAGTCCAATTATATTTCATGGAAAACATGCATAACAATATTCATTCTTCTGCGCATTCAGTATAAAATGACGACTTCTTCTAATTTTATGCTCGAAGGAGGGACATGCTTCAGTTTTAAAAAAATGTCTAATTGTGGGACTTTTAACTACCGTGAAATGGCGGTTCATAAATCGTCATGCCTCTGCATTTGCCATTCTGGCTCGTAAATCTAACAATATGGATCAAATCCGCTGCTAAATTTTACGAACCCTATATGGTCTCCCTTTAGTATCTTAAAGAAATGTATGGTTTTCCGTACGCGGAAAATATACGGCTTGTAGTTTGGAAACCCTGAATCCAAGTGTAACCGTAGAGCGGATTCAAAATTATTCGGGAATTGGAAACGTATTTAAAAATCGAATGATACCCTTCCTTCGAGTATGTGATTGGAAGAAGACGTAATTGTCTGCCGAATGAGCAAAAGAATGGATATTTTTATTCATGTTTGCTATGAAATATAATTGGACATTTAGGGACATCGAAAATCAATGAGAAAAATTCATGCTACTTAAGCAGTCATTGTTTTACATAGTGTCGTTTTTGTATGCAGCCGGAAGGAAGTTCATTCGAAAGCCGGCCTCCCGAGGTAACTGAAATATTGTAGAATTATGTTGCAGGCTGATTAGTTTTACAATCCTACTTAATTAATCTTTTCGAAACGAAAACGCATTTCGGATTTTCGATTGAAATTTCATGAGTTAGCGCGACTACTGTACTTCATGCCGCTACGAGGTTTGATTCTGCAGCCCCACCTGAGTGATACCATATGGCTAGCTTACTAAAAAATATTAGATAACATTCCTAACTGAACCACTCGCTGGATCAGGAAGGGAAAGAAAGCGCAAGCAGAGCTCGAAGCGCGCACGGGGAAGCAAACGAGAGTGGCATGTACGCACCCTGCCCCGACACAGTCACTTGTTGGATTAAGAGGATGAGGAGGCTGCAATCACAGGGTACAGCGTGGTAATTCTCAATGCATATCCACTGCGGTGGAACAGATGGAGTACCATACCGTCCCAACAATTCTATTAGAAAGTCTACTTAGCCTCTCGTTGGACTGAAATAATAAAGAAGGAGCAAGCACTGATCGAAGCACGCGCGGGGGGGCGCATGTAAACTGATACCCGAAGTAACCGAGGCTGGCGTATAAGCACTCCTCCCCCCTCCTGTGGCACAGCCACTAGCTGGATTAAAATGGTAAGAAAGATGCGAATACGTGATATTTGTAAAGTCAGCATATTCGCATCAGCTAACAATTTTTTAGAAAGCTAACCATATGTTATCACTCCAGGGGGACTGCAGGACCATGCCGCGATACTGCGATGCAAGCGGTCAGCATCAGTATGACGGGTGGAATCTCACGCGTAAACATGACCGTATCTCGCTTCTGCATTTTTTAGCTGTCTCGCTCATGTGGAGTAAAGGATATGCGGGGCTGTAACACACGCAGGCGGTGACCTTCAAGCCACCTCGCCACCTGCATCCACTCGCATCGTCGGTCAACCCACAGGCCCAGACAGATAAGCGGCGCACTGTAAATGTGGTAGAATCTTGTCTCGGTGCGGATTAGCACATTACTCGTCACACTACAAGTTTCGCGCCTGTGCGCTACTGCGGCAAACAACAAGCTGTGACTTGGAAAATTCTCAACAGGAATGAAAGCGAAATTTCGAGTTCCAGGTGTATACATAAGTGAAGAAGAAGAGTCGAGCACCGAAACACCTTTTTTATTGTCCTGAGCTTTCAGACTCGTACAGGAGTCCATCTTCAGAGGAAGTGGCAGCAACAGAACAAGGCACAGTTATAAGGCATTTAGGCCAGTCATTGACCGACGACGCAAGACTGGAGGTGACTACGCAGGGCTCTGTACGTCGGCGCTAGATCGATAAATCGATTGACCGAGTTCTCATCCGAGGTCCAGGTCACGAGTTTAACCTCGCAGCCACCAAAATAGTCGCCCACGCCGGAAACGAAACAGACCGAGGATTGATTGAAGCCTGGCCTCGGATGAGAACTCGGCCAATCGATTTATCGATCTAACGCCGGCTTACAGCGTCCTGTATAGTCACCTCCAGTCTTGCGTCGTCGGTCAATGACTGGCCTAAATGTCCTATAACTGTCGCACGTTCTGTTGCTGCCACTACCTCTGACGATGGATTCCTGTACGTGTCTGAAAGCTCAGGACAATGAACGAAGTGTTCCGGTGCTCGACCCTTCTCCTCTTACGATTCTCAACAGATTCAATAACTCTGTCTTCTTTTGAAAGATTTCAATTTCCCCACTCCCCGAAGCCTGATACGTTTGGCGCGTGTAAAACAAGCGTGGACGGTCTGTTCACCTCTGTCAATCACTGCACCCACGCCCACGCCTGATCATCTTTACGTTATCTTCTCATTATAATTCATCGTGTCCACTTCGGTATGGTTGGATCTCGAGCCACTGTAGGTAGACGGGAAGAGGTGAGTTTTAGGAGGTAGTTCAGAAGAAGAAGAAGAAGAAGAAGAAGAAGAAGAAGAAGAAGAAGAAGAAGAAGAAGAAGAAGAAGAAGAAGAAGAAGAAGAAGAAGAAGAAGGAGATACAATCGCTGGGAGAGGAAGTTTATTGGTCTGGTGTTTCGAATTTTCATTCTAACCCATAATCAGAGAGAGCTGCGGATGGCGTTGATGGGGCCAAACATGCAACAATAGTGAGGAGGAATGACGCCGGCTCTCAGGTCGCGGCTCATTCGACGGGGCCTGATCACACCGTAAATTTTAACGGATCCGAATTTCTCGTAAAAGGTGACAAGCGCGTGAGCATCTTGAGTCATGCTTTTCCGATTCATTGTCAATTAATAAGTGACCTTTCGCCTCCATCTTCTGTGCCGAGACCACCGGGGAGGACGTGGTCAACCATCAGTTCCAGTGACAGCACGCAAAACTTCCGAGGCACTGTCATGCCATGAATCAACAATGGGAATGAAATCATGGCCTCTTATGACCCGAGTACGCACTAACATGCCATCCTCAAATCAGATACGACTCTCAACTATGAACTCGAGTGCTAACAATTATAGTAGGCACGTGGTTGCAGGTCAGTTGCATCCTACGAGCAATTTCCTCCTTGTGCTTCTCCATCCCTCTTACCTGCGACTGATTCTGATGATGGGTTTGTGTGAAAATCCGAAACGTTACACCAGTAAAATTCTTGTCCCAACGATCGCCACTTCTTTCTCGAATCACTGTCCATACGAAGGCTTTGTGTCAGCCTAAGTGGGAGATGTAGTTCCAACCTTTCTGAACGATTGGCAACTGGCTGATTGGAATTCGGTCTGTGCTTCATTATCCCCCTCCCCCACTCTTGTTACCAAGCTGTCCCACTGAAAGCCATATTCTTGAATTTATCCAGAATTCTTAGCGCCACCTTCTGGGGTATCGTCGAAGACAGCATCTTTTTTCCATGCCCAAGGCAATGAAAGTTTTCCGACGTTTAGACGACAGAAAGCTTGCGCACGCTTACAGTACCTCGGTAAAATCGAATACATTTAGAGAACCTGATATTGATCGAAAGAGATTCAGAACCTGAACTCTGGAAAAGGTGATCATCCTCTTCAAAAGCCAACCTTCTTATCTTCGACCAACAAACGAGTGCAGTTATTCTTTGCCAAAGTTACTGCAACAGTCCTTGGGTCCTCGGTCCATCACCCCGTTCCGAAGTACTTTCAGCAAAGCTGACACATCTAGGTGGCTTCATGTGCAAAAGTTACGCACTGGACTCCCTTAGGCTGGAAGTCTTTATGCTGCACATATTGCCGAGCGAGAATGCACAAAATATACGACCTTCAGGATCGATTTGTGGAGTTCTTGTGCGAAAGTAATATCTCCGTGAGGCATACTATCTCCAACTCTATCGATACGAAGTCTACAAATCGGGTTACTGCCAGTCGAAAATAGCAATCCACGTGAAAACGTCCAGAATCGCTTTGTAAAACCCTCCTACAAAACCAATAGCTCAACCAAAATGCATGCCGGCGTACAGAAGGCATACAATATTCAATTTTGTCGATAGGAAGTCTCAAAATAGGGCTCATATTCTTTTACAGGATCCTTCATAAGTATCATGACCTTGGAATTTAAAATCTTAAAAACTAGGACGATTCTCATGACGTCAGAACATAAGGATATTCCAAACCTTTTCTTCCATTCAATGGGTGTTCTTTAGAAATGCACCAAAATCTGTGCACGTAAGCCCAGAGTAGTAAATTTTATAAAAATGAACGTCCACTTGAACGAATAGTTATTTGGGAGGGCATAAAATATTGCGTGCAAATGCACGGAGCTAACGTAGACCCCGAAAGGCCTAGAAAGAAGGGCGGGCCTTGGCAACCACTGGGTTCCAATCACGCTTGATAACGGGCTAGATCCTGTTAATCGTTTGAAACTGCTCAGTTTCAAAATGCCCCGAGGAAACGATCAACTGAAGCGTGTATAAATTTGGCAGGTGCGACAGAAAACAGTAAATAATTTTGACCACAAAATTGCGTAGAATTTAATGCTCATAAGTTTGCTTAGGGGTATTTCGGACTGACACATTTCGCAGGGGAATTTTGGCAGATCCGGTTGTTAAAGTGAAACTCCCAGCGATGTTTGAAATAAGAGGAGAACAAAAGGGCCAGGTTGGCAACCGGACAAAGTTTTCTCTTCTATGCCTAGGCTCGAGAACATCATGCAGCCATTTTAAAATTCGGTGACTTTTTTTCCCAAAAATGCTTGTAAAAATTGATCGCCAGCTTTTTTTCGATTTGAGTACTCTACTCCTCTTATGCGCATAGATTGTTCAAGTTTGCTTATCCCAATGCTTTCTGACATGCGCGCAAAGCTAGCGGTGTTTTTGAGGCAATAATGCCCACGTGGTGCTTTATGAACCGTCTACTCTTTATTTGGCAAAGTTCACAACTCTGCATTCGGGATGATTCAGCTTCTGTGTGTCAGGTTTACTTTCGTTTTTACTGCCAACCCTCACTTCAAATTCGACGCGACCGTTCTGAGTGGACAGGCCGGACAAACGCCCCCGCATTTCAACGGCACCTTGTTTGTTGCGGGAATGCTCATCATTTCTTAATGCAAAGGAACAACTTACCCTAGTCTCCCAACATATAATCTGTCGGATTGAGGGTCTTCTGACCGTTTCACGTCAGCAAAGTTTGTCTGCTTGAAAGACCGGAAGTGTTCCAAAATTATTCGCGCGAGTGCAACTTCATGCCGGCCAATGAGTTACTATACTTTTATAAGTAGCCGTGATTAACTAACTACAGAAATCAATCAACGCGAGTGGTTGCATGATGACGGAAGTCATGTCGTATTCAACTGGCCCAATACTTCAAGTTCCTGCATCGTGAATGGCGACAAGCGCTGAAACGAAGGTGAACCACTTGGCGCGTCAATCGCGTGATGAACTCTGAGACAGGGATGTGTTGGAGGTCAGATTTTCCCCCGTCCGCCAACGTCTTCAGTTGACCATTTCGACGCCGTCCAGCCGGTTTCGGTTTCCTATACCAATTTTAATATACCCGATCGCAACCGACAGAGCGACGAGTCCGTGGCTCGCTGATTAGGATCGTCGGACTTTTAGCCAATAGGTCGCGGGATCGAGACCCCAGGGGTTGCATATCTCGGGGTTGGGTATGGCTGGCTAACGACGGATAATAAGTTAGAAATGGCCATTCCAGTCTCCCTTGTCTTTGTCCGTAATGTTACTACGATCGCCATATACTATCGTTTGGAACATGTTTGCGTTTGGCTGTCCAGTCTGATTCGCGGTATTAAGACCACGACCAAAGTTAGCACCGAGTTGGTCAGCCAGTGCATATTGAAGAACCTAGTTCACTAAACAAGCGAATGTGGCTGGTGATAAGACATAGTCGAGTGGCACCATTCACACGGTCTTTGAATCCCCTTCCGGGATATTAGGTTTAGGTCTGTTGGAATAACTTCGACGACATATTCTCATGCAGCACGATCGAGCGCAGGAAATACCGATGGACGTGGCCAATTACAGGACGAAGACCTCAATAACAGGCGAGCGTAGACTATTGGCAAATATTAGCGGTATTTGGTGGTTTGACAGTAACGAACACGTCTGCGAGCCTGACCAAGAGAATTCTTTTTGACAGTGTACTGCCCTAAATCAGGGGATTATTGAGCTGGGTGATTACAAAGGCTTTTGTGTCACTGTCAGGAAGGGCACATGGAGTGGTATCGTCGACACAGTAATCGGCCATCCTGGTTGAAGATCAGCGTAATGACCGCAAAAATGTGATTTTCTGGGCAACGATAGGGTGTAGGACCCCACGGAGCTGGCAACTCCATAAAAATACACCAAAATTCAGTGTGACTGTGAACATCACTTCTTATTCGTCGTTCTCATTGTTTGAAATTTTCTTCCCTCCGGTCCAACTCTACTATTTTTTTGAAAATTGCTTTTTACTTATTTTTTTAAATTATCGCGCTTACTTTCTTTGCCAAATAACAGCGTAAGATAAGACTTTCGGCAGAAATTTACCTTTTTTCGGTGTCTTCTTGCTCTCTGTCCTGCGTGTTGACCCACCCCTAAAACCCCCTCTACAACCATTCAACGTATGACCTGGTCCACAGGCTAGTTCAAGATAGTTGGAGGTTCTACACTCTGCCGTTTCCGATTTCTGTATTTGGTCACGTACCAAGTCAAGCGTTACCACAGTCAGCTAAAGATCACTCTGCATGTGGCAATGGACTCGAAGAATTGGTCTACCGGCCTGCCTCTGGCGCTTCTTGGCACTCACATAACACTGAAGTCGTGTCTGAATTTCAACGCAGCCGAATTGGTGTTCGACACTACCCCGCGACTGTCAGGCGATATGATCACCCAATCCTCTCTCGCGGTCCGGACAATTCTATGCATCGCCTACGACAGGTTATGCGTCCACTTTCCCCGTTTTCGCCTCACACTACAGCGACTGAGCCTTATTTCGAAGAATTCTTGGTCGACTGCGCTCACTTTTTCCTTCGGTGAGACCATGTGCGCAAGCCGTTAGAATCACCGAAAGACGGACCGTTCCGGATACTTTCACACTGCCTGTCGGACCATTCGAGATGACAGGGGGCGTGGTCAGCGTCGACTGGGTCAGGGCTTTCGTCCCAGACGAATCGTCCGACCTGCACCAAGGACAGACCTGTACTGATTGTCTACTCCATCCTCCTCCTCGTCCTC